TGATCGGTTGCTTGGACTGCCTAGCAACCAATCATCTGCTAGTTAACTTGAAAAGTTATGCTGCCTCCCACCCGCTGTCCATAACTGTGTGTAAGTCTCTGTATCCTCTTAACTGTTTGCTCTCTGTGTCCAGGTATGCACTAATGGAAGTAGTCCAGCTTGTTGTTAGCTTTTAGTGGAGTGCAACGTGGAAAGGAGACTTAGTGCTCTCTGTTTAGTACAAGGTGAGATGTTGTATGTGTTGTGGTGATACTACAGAAGACAGAGGGCAGAGAATATGGCTGTTGGGGGGTGTTTAGGAAGATAGAGGACATGGCTGTGTGGAGAGGGGGTTGTGAAGGGGGCTAGAGGAAATGGCTGTGGGGGATGTTAAAGGGGGTAGAGGACATGGCTGTGGGGGGGATGGGAGGGGGGGGTAGAGGACATGGCTGTGGGGGGATGTGAAGGGGGGTAGAGGACATGGCTGTGGAGGGGGGTGTTTAAGGGGATAGAGGACATGGCTGTGGGGGGATGTGAAGGGGGTTAGGGACATGGCTGTGGGAGGGATTTGAAGGGGGTAGAGGACATGGCTGTGGGGGGATGTGAAGGGGGCCAGGGGACATGGCTGTGGGAGGGATGTGAAGGGGGGTAGAGGACATGGCTGTGGGGGGATGTGAAGGGGGTTAGGGGGACATGGCTGTGGGAGGGATGTGAAGGGGGGTAGAGGACATGACTGAGGGGGACTGTGAAGGGGGTAGAAGACATGGGGGCATATGAAGGGGGGTTCAGAATACTACTGTGAAAGGGGGCTATGGACACTCATGTGAAGGGGAAACTGTGATATGACGTGAAGGACTGTGATGTAAAGAGGGAATTGTGATATGCAGGGGGGACTGAGAACACTGATGAAAGAATGCTATATTTTGTAAGGGGTGTGTGATGTGAAGAATAATGTGATTCGGACCTCTGCTGGTAGAAATTTTTATTGATCGGACTGTCATGAATTGTAATTCAATACCCTTGCATTATTATGATGGTCAGTGGGAAGAATGCCCCTTACACTGGTGGACATTGGAAAGAATTACCCCCTTATAGAGATCTAAAAAAAGATCTATGATGTCAGTGGGAAATTATCTGAGAGGCAGAAATTGCTCATTGCTCAAGGAACCCCTAGCAACCTCTGGAGGATCCTTAGGCTTCTTCGGAATCCTGGTTGATAAACCCTCATCTAATTTATAGTCTTCAGAAAACACTGGGGCCTGTAATTACAGAATACTGTGTTTTAAAAAGTTCAAACAATAGAGAATTTGTTGCTACAATCTCCTAAAGCACAGGCTTATATTTACTTGAATAATAATATGTTTGACAGCTACCTTTGCGGATGACTATTAGGCAAGTTGTTACTAAGAAAAAAACTTAAAGTAAAACTGAAGTCAGCAATACTTACCGTAGTTCTGATGGTCTGATGACCACGAGGTCCCTTGCCAACACCTTCCAGACTTCTTCCAGGTGGCAGTCTTTGGCTATCTTGATTGGCTGGGGTGGAATGATGTAACTCCCGTGCATGCATTGGAGTTCAGTTGTCCCAGGACACAGGCACTGCAGCAAAATGTACACTGAGCAGAAAATTTACAGCTCAGTGTACATTTTAAGGAAGACTGGGAACAGGAAGGTAAGTTTATTTTATTGCATGTCTCTCCCAATACATACACACTCCGCTCACAATATTTTATGTTAATCTTTACTTTAGCTTTTATTTTTGGATTGCAAAGAAAGTGTATTCAGAATGAGAAAGCTTTCTTAGTTCATGAACCCTCAGTCCTTTACCCTTTTCTCTCTTCCACGTTGGCATGACTCATGTTATTATGCCACTTGTTATACTTTATCTCTAACCTTTTTACAAAAGAAAAACATGTTTTCACTCCATTGCAGACTTATCTTCTGCACACATACATTCATATCCTACGGTAGATTTGTAGCAGTATGATCGATACAAATACCATTGCTGATTAGGAAACTCTCTTCATCCTTGAAGGCAGAGATATTTTCTATCTCAATGTTATACATAGTTGTCTGAGCTATTGCAGAGGATCATGGCACTGTAGCAAGGGCGGACTGACCATTTGGAAACTTGGGCACTGTCCGAGGGCCCGGGGTCAGTAGGGGGCCCCAAGAGATGCCCCTGGTACCTTTTTCATAGGCTTTTTTGAGTTTGGGCAAGGACACAGGGGCCCCATGATCCCCTATTGCCCGGGGGCCCCATGAGTTGTCACTCCGCCCCTGCACTGTAGTCAATTGATCAGTTCCTTCAGCCCTACAGTATAATGGTAGGCCCTTCTCTCCATACACACTGGGACTGGAGGAATATTCTGCAGGAGCCTGTACATTTCACCTGCAGCTTTGCAGGGTCCAATGCAAACACTTAACCAATGCACTTTTTTTTTAAAGGTGGAATATGCTTTTAAAGTAGTTGTAAACCCTTACATATACCCAGTGAAGTGACTGGCCTCAGGTAATACACAGAAATGAAAAAAAATCCTACATAAGTTGTACCTGTTTAGCTGCAGCCATCTCTTATGTACAGCCTCCTAAAGCACACATTTTACACAGCATTACAAAGCAGGGGGTGAGGATCTGACATCACATACACTGCATAGCTAGAACATACAGCTGTGTCATAAAAAAAGCATACAGAACTGAACTTATGAATTACCTGTGTTGTGCTGGAGGATATAAGCAGATGAAAAACAGATGTAAACGGAACAAAGCTAAACAGAAGATGGATAAACTGATGTATACTGAATCCGTTTTTTTTTCTTAGCAAAAACATGACTAAACAGATGAAGCAGGTGGACCATCGGTGTGAAAGGGGCCTTAGCCATTTGGGTGAAAGGTGTCAAGGGCAGTATGTTTAAACTTTTCTGACATATGCAAATAAAGGAAGCTCAGCACCTTGCTCTATTTATTTTGGAGTAACAGAAAATTGCCTCACATGTATTTCCTAAACTGTTCAACCAAAATCCACCTGGGTGATGCCTATCTAATGCAAATGTTTTTTGCTTCCACTGTGAAACTGTAACCTTTAGTTTACTGGCAAGGTGTGGTGTGTGGGTGGGGGTTTGCTATATGTTATATAGATGAGTTAAAAGAAAGGGTAACATCTTAACTATGCTGGAAAACACCTTCACTGACAACACTATTAGTTACTACACAACACATTAACAGGTTGATTCTTGTTTTGTTTATTACATATTTATACTATATGACATTTTATATATCATGTTAAAGCAGCCCTTTTCTTTGCCAAAGTTTCCTGAGACCATTGATATATATGAATTATTATTGTAAACAATTCAATGCTGCAAATTCATTGAACAAAAAATTTTGCTCCAATTTGTAACCTAAGATCTGATTATTTTCTTATAAGTTACCACCATGTTGCTTCTCACACAGCATAGGGCTCCTTTCACACCAATGTGGTTTTTAGTGCTTTTTGCAGAAACACGCTACAGTCTTTTTTGAGCCGCTTCATTCTTAGAAAGGGTCAGGGACTTTTTTTAAAGCAAAAAGCAGCATTTTTGCTACAATAGAATTCAATGGAGAAGCTGTTGAAATGCACGGTAGTGAGTTTTTGACGTGTTTGCATTTTTATTCTGCCCAGCAATAAAAAAAATCCACTTTAACAAAAAAAAAAAAAAGAGCTGAACAAAATGCAAAATGAGGTAAAAACCCATTAAAAATGCATCAAAAAACAAACTGTGAAAAGCACTGCAAAACGCACAAAAAGCAAACTGCATAGGTATGAATGGAGCATAAAGGAGGGGAAACTGGATATCAGTCACAGCCTGCAAGTTAACAACATGTCAGCCTTTTCTGTGTGTCTATTGTCACTGCCAGGGCCATCTTTAGAGATCATGAGGCCATGTACACTCTGTGGGATCAATAATAGCAATGCTCCAAACATGTCTCATTCCCTGTACCTCCAGCACACATCAGGTGTATGCCCAGAAGCACATACACAGCTGAGCTGTGCCACTGGTCAAGTAGAAATTAACGGTGCCATGGTAGTTCATTGAGGACTACAAGCTGACAGCTGCTAAGGCTGTCGATACTTGTAGTCTCTCAATCACAGATGACTGCGAATAAGTGATGCGGCCGTGTGGGTGGAGCCCCCATGTTTTTTTTTTAATTTGACAGCTAGCAAGGGGGGAGAAGACCCACTTAGCTGTCAAGATTGAAAATAAGAGAGATATTCTCTTGGAAGAAAAAAGAGGACTATAGTCTTTTGGAATTGCACCTGTGGTCATTTAGATAAGGAGGACATTTATTTATATTTTTATGATTCTTTTTTCAATTTATTGATATAATTTGGGAAAGAAAAAGACTTTATAATTTTTGTTTAGCTTTCAAGGGTGAAAGTGAGTGTTTTTTTCTGGGGCACATTTTAGTAATTTAGAATTAGAGTGTGCTAATTCAGCAATTTATCCCCTTATAGATAGCTAAAAAGATCAATGGTGTCAGTGGGAACTTAACTGAGAGGCAGAAATTTCTGATTGTTTAAAGGACACCTAAGAACCCCTGGAGGAACCCTAGTTGAGAAACTCTGCTCTAAACCAATCACATGGCATAACCCCAATATAATTTTACAAAAAAAAAAACAAGAAACCAATCTCATAAATCAGAGTTTTTGAGGCACCTATGGCTCTGGAAAAAAATGAGAAAATAATGAGCTAAAATACCTGAATCAGGAAAATACTGCATTGTGGATGCATTACAAATAAGGCGTTTGGACAAACTTGTTAATAGAATATATTTGTATATTTAAACACCACTTCTATTAACACAAAAAAAGTTTGATTTGAACTACAGTTTAAAAAAATCATAACGACTTTTATGCTATTTATTTCAAAGAAGAGTGCCTGTTTTTAATAGAAATTTTGCCTTGTGCTTTGTACATGTTTATTTAATATAATAAAAATTACTAATATTCTGTTTTTGTCTCTTCAGGGATCTAACTCACAATGGATTGGAAGACATTCCAGGGTCTCTTAAGTGGTGTGAACAAGTATTCAACAGCTTTTGGACGTATTTGGTTATCAGTTGTCTTTGTATTCCGAGTTCTTGTGTATGTGGTTGCAGCAGAGAAAGTATGGGGAGATGAGCAAAAAGATTTTGATTGTAATACCCGGCAACCAGGCTGCACTAATGTCTGCTACGACCATTACTTCCCTATATCTCATATTCGGCTTTGGGCTCTCCAGCTCATATTTGTGACATGTCCTTCTCTTCTGGTAATAATGCATGTTGCTTATAGAGAAGATCGAGAAAAAAAGAATCGCTTAAAAAATGGAGACAATTGTTCTAAGCTGTATTCAAATACTGGCAAGAAACACGGAGGTCTTTGGTGGACTTACCTTCTGAGTCTTTTTTTCAAAACTGGCATAGAAATTACTTTTTTATACATCTTGCATAAGATGTGGGACAGCTTTGACATGCCTCGGCTTGTGAAGTGTACTAATGTTGAACCCTGCCCCAACATCGTGGATTGTTACATCGCCAGACCAACCGAGAAGAAAGTTTTCACCTACTTCATGGTAGCTGCTTCTGCAATCTGCATTGTCCTCAGCATTTGTGAAATATTTTACCTGCTCTTTAAAAGGATTTTCAACTGTGCTAACAAGTACAAAAAGTCCAGCGATCACTCAGTAACCTACAGCAAAGCTTCTACTTGCCAGTGCCATATCCACTTAGAAAGCTCAGAGAAGAAGCCACTTAATAAGACAGTTGAATCATTAAGAGCTTCAGCACCAAATTTAACATCTTTGTAACCCTGTACCATTGATCCATATTACATTTACTTTATCACAGACCTTTGTTGTCCAGCATTACCCTTAAAAAGAAAGGTTTTTTTATTCAATTTGTAAGCCAGACTATGAACAATCTTTCTTTTGTACAACTATTTTGGAGAACGCACTGTGGAGAGCTGCTGGGTAAAACAAAGGAAAATGAGTCTTCTGTTTCTCCTATTAAAGCTACTAAAGCATACTAGCCATGCTTAATGTTTACAATACATAGCTTTTCCTATTATGGAAACCTCAAGAAGAGATGTATGGACACAAATCAGGATGGATTATAGTATAAATATGTAACTGGCTGCTCTTTGGATCAAAGGGTACCAGATACACACTACTTCATTTCATGGTTTTTATGAAAGGTGCCACTCAGAAGTCAAGAAAGGATTTCAAATATGAAAACTAAACACTGCCACAGTAGTATATGCTCATCTAAACTTGACTGTTGATATTTGCTCTATAAATGAGAGCCAAGGAGATCGAACAATAATGGCATTCTCCCTAACAATTATAGACTTGTACAGTATATGTCCTTGCAGTCTCTCATAATGTCAATATGATGGGTTACCTATGTTGATGATACTTTCTGTTTCTCCCAATTATGGCTGCAGTCTGAAAATCTTGGTAGACAGGTCAGCTCAATACAGAGCAAGACTCTTTTCTCTAAACAGGTCCCTCAAGTGGTGGGCAGAAACTGCTTGTCTACAGCAAAAATGGATTCAAACCACAAAGCCATGCTATCGGAAACGCTTTATTCAATAGGAACAAGTGCACACGTATTATGTTTGTTAAATGTTCTGTAATACTTTAATAAAGTCAAAGAGCAACTCAACTTAATGGACACTAATATCTTATCACAAACTGACATTGATAGGATTGCACAGGACTACACAACAAAGTTGTAATTTTATCTGAAATTCAAAGTCATCATAGTGTCGGAAGAGAAAGGATGCAAGCCCTATTAAAACAGCTTTCTTACTGTAACTTTTTTTAACAAGCAAGTGCTGGTCTTTGCTGCAAATATACCAGCACCAAAGTAACCATGACCTGAGAAAACAAGACTTTTTGCTGCTACTCACTGTCCAGAGTCATCTCTTACAGCAGTGACGTGTCTATAGACTATGCTCTGCTCTCTCGCGTTAGCTTGTACCATTATCCACAACTGGAATAACAGGAGATGTTTTCAGTGATTGACAGGCTGCAGGGAGAATACCTACAAACCTATTTTAGCAATACTACTAAGATAATATGTAGAGCATTGCTTACAATATTTGTATTTAGTTTCTTCCTTAAAGTGGTTGTAAAGTCAAATTAGTTTTTTACCTTAATGCATTCTATGCATTAAAATAAAAAATCTTCCAGTTGGTGTTCTTCCCCCCCCCACCTCCCAAAATGATTACCTGAATCCTGTATCAATCTAACGCTGTGCCCGTCTGCGGTTCTCCTGTCCCCTCTCTGTTCTCATAACCTTGGCTGAGAGCAGTGGAAGCTGGCTCCTGTTGTTGTTAGTCAAACTTGAGGCGGGAGCAGGGGGACGCACACAGCCTGGCTCAGGATTGAGGCTGCACATGCACCCCCATAGGATGTGGCTTCCTATGGTGGCATGGAGAGAAGGGGAGGAGCCGAGAGCTCTGGAAGGTGACCCCAGAAAAGGAGGTTTGGGGCCGCTCTGTTCAATACCCTTGTATTAATTGAAAAAACTTTACAACCTTTTTAAAGTTTTCTTCATGTTTAGACTACCTTCTCTATTTTAAAAGACATTTTTTTTTTAATTATGAGGATTTCAACTGTTTGTATGAATATATTACTGTAAAGTTAAGATAATCATGTTGTCTCATTTAGAACATAATGCTATGTTAGCAAAATTTTGTATGCTACCTATTAAAACTAAACCATCGAGTGTAAAAGATAAGGTTATATCACATTGCAGAGTACTCTATAGCGAACACAAAAATCTGCTACTTTTTATCATTGTTATTGGGACTGGGCTAGCACGTTTTAGAAAAATGTTTGGGAATCTTGCAAGTTAAAAGATCAACTACCTAAAAGCAATAGTTCATTAGGTAAGATGTATACACACTAGATGCATGTCTTAAAATGTGTTAACTCACGTTTGGTTTTACCTATGATTTACATACATTGTAGCTGCAAAGCACCTTCTTTCTTCAGTTGACTCTAATGAAATCAATTTACCACTCATTTTTGTAATTCCTAGAAATTTAGTCTAGTGATAAGGAATCTTGAAATGTGCTCTGCCCATGTAGATTAAAAAACACATCTGCTTTAATGCCCACCCTACAAAGGTAGCATAGAAACCTTTCCTTTACTTTCCTGCTGCTCAATTTAGCTGCTAGGAGAAAAGAATACACAGGTACTTCCGGGTATGGAGAAGCATGTAACCCTCACTCCTGTGCTGTCACATGGAGAAATACCACTTCAGCAACTCATAGTTTGTGTGTGATGAGGACTGGACAATGGAAAGGTGGGTATATGGTGCTGTGGAGGGGCGTGGGCAAAGCATAGGTTCACATTAAAAGTAAACCACCCCTTAGTTTCTTGCTCTTCCAAGGAGCCCATGAATGAGATCTCCCCACCATTGTTCCCACTTTTAAGCAGCCCTCCCCACACTGAGGGGAGTCACTATAGCAAATGAAGCAGTAAAGTTTCAAAACATCTACTGCATTTTCTGTTTTATTAAAAAAGATTAAATATGTAACATTCATCAAAATGCAAGTGCATTGCTTCTGAACTCTCCATAATATAAATACAGAACAGGATTAAAAGGCATGCAAAGATGGTTGTCTGTATTATGGGATTTTGTATATCAGAGAAGACCCTTCTGCTTTCTGTATCTTCTATTTATTATTTATACAAAATGTGTATATTTTATTAAAAATGCATTTTTTAAGTAAGTCATAATTGTCTGTTATTCTGAACAGTTTATTTGCATGAAAATATAACAATCGCTGATATGCAGAATATTGAACCTACAAGGACAGGGAAGGGCACAGTTTGAAAAATTCTTCTACTATAGGGAAGAGCATAACAATTACAGATATGGAGGTCCCATGTATACAAACATCTACTTAAAGGAAATACACATGCCATATAGGAAGAGATTTGCCTTCTAACAGCCTTAGACTAAATTCACAGGAAATTACAGGTCTGACTGTATAAGGAAGTATACAGTATATTCCATTAGTAAAATGATTATAGTGAGTCCTTGGCCATGTGGAAACATACTGTACACAGAAAATATGTAATTATAGAAATAAAATAAACCATTAATCTGGCTCTGCTATAACATTCAACTACAAGCATATTGTGTACATAAAAGATTCATATGTAGCTTAAACTAATCCTAGTATAGAATTATATTAGTCCAAAATAAATCTCTGTTGAAGAGAAGATTTCTAAAGTCTAAGGGTAAGAGTTAAAATGATACTGCCTCACTGGAACATAAATGTGCTGAATGAGGTCTGAACTGCACCAAAAAGTCATGAAATGAGGTTTGTACTATTATATAGCCACCAGAAACACAATAAGGCCTTGTGCACATGGGCGCATGAAAGTGTAAATAGGCCAATGTCCTCTATAATGCAGACTGCAGCCAGAGCTTGCATGAATGCACTATGATCTGATCTCTTTTCGTAATATGTGGTTACAGGGACCCAACACTAATCACAAACTGGAACACATTTCATACAGGCTTTTTTGCCAGCCCAATTACTTGACCAACTAGAGAGTGCCAAATCACACTTTTGCACTGTATTGCAGAATTATGCCCTATTGTGTTGGGGAGCTATTTAATTTGAATGGCATCTTATCACCCTAAGGTAGCTCAGCTCTGAGGCACGTGCTATCATGCATAGTAATGTGCTGTATCGGGAAAATTGCTGCATGTCCATTTTTATTGTCTGCTCTGGTGTGTTGGCTGCCCATACTTTTGAATGAGCTTCATAAATGCAATGTGTGTGCATTAACACATTGCTTCAGAAATGACAGATCTAAATAAACCTTAAGACTATACACCATATACCAGGGGCGGACTGACAACTCATGGGGCCCCCGGGCAATAGGGGATCATAGGGCCCCTGTGTCCTTGCCCAAACTCAAAAAAGCCTATGAAAAAGGTACCAGGGGCATCTCATGGGGCCCCTTACTGACCCCGCGCCCTCGGGCACTGCCCGAATTTCCAAATGGTCAGTCCACCCCTGCCATATCCAATTTGATTATATAATCTCCTTTAGCCTTACCATAAGCTGTGAAGTGCAAGGTACTGTCTGATTTGGTTTTTCCTCATAACACATAGTTTTAGTGCATCTAATGGTGGCCATACACACTTGAATACAAATTATTAATTCCTTTTCTGATCAATCTCTTCCAAAAGGAATAATCGATCTAGAATGACCAACCCTTTCAATCAATATGCCACACACAGAAGAGTGGATTTCAATTGATAGTCAAGATATGATCATAACTTTCAATTGTACGTTTCCCCAATCTTTTTCCACCATGTAATCTCATAATCTGATTAATGAAATATAATCATTTTATGTACAAAGTATTTGATGCCAATAAATGCAAAACCATCAATACATTTCTACCCCTACTGATTAGCTCAATTTGATTGAATCTTATCTAAATTGAGTCTAAATTGTTTAGAATGGAGGAGTTGGCTAGTAGATTGTGTACAGATTTGATTACTTTGATTGAATTGCATATCAGTCAGAGAAATAAAAATAAAAGCATATGTGGCCACCATAGAGGAGATTGCATCATCAGATTGTATATTGTATGACCATCTTAGGAGGGACCTACCAACCTTTTACAAATAATTTATCTTTGGCTGGAGGCACATGGAGGACCTAAAATAAGAGGCTCTGTCTCACTGCTATGTCATTTTGCAAGAGAAGTTGTTCCATATCATATGCTACATGTGGAATCTTCAGTCACTCAGCAACAGGTTTGATACT